TGTGATCCCAAGTCTGGTAACCCAAACTCCATATCTCTCTACTCCCCTGACATATTGGCTGTCGCTAGTTTTATTTAACCACTAGCTTTAAATTAGGGAGCAAGGTTTATACAACAAAGGCTGGTATACACGAGGATCCACTAAGTGGAACAACCAGATCTTGGGTTACAGAATTTAGTGTTTAAATACAAGCAGCATCAGACCAACCCCCTACACAACAATCCTCCCTCAGCCTCCCAAGTATGAGGATAATAATTACCCATCACCAACCCCAGCTATTTACTTCTACTCTGAGGCACTTTTTTTTTTTAAAAGAATTTATTTATTTTATGTACATGAGTACATTGTAGCTATCTTCAGACACATCAGAAGAGGGCATCAGATCCCATTACAGATGGTTGTGAGCCATCATATGGTTGCTGGGAATTGAACTCAGGACCTCTGGAAGAGTAGTCAGTGCTCTTAACTGCTGAGCCATCTCTCCAGCCTAAGGCACTGTCTTTATGAATAAAGAACACAAAACCTCAAAGCAGGAACCGAACCAAGAAACAAAGTAGAATACTCACATCAATGGTTTTATCATTGAAGTATTTGATATACTCAGGACCCATGTACAGGGGGGGCTTGCAGGTCATCAGGAACACTGAACACAGAGAAAAAATGTCAAGAGATAAAAACATACAAGGCCTTTTACAGATTTTACTTGCAAACTCACTCAGGGATTTCAGAATTCCTGGAAAAATACATACATGCACATATTCCTCTTAAAACCCTGTCTAAGTAAACACCACTTGAGCTACACATATAATTCATTAGGTACAAGATGTGGTTCTTTACCAAAGAACTTTACTATTTCAAATTATTATATTATAGAGCCTTAACATAATAAAAGCCATTTTCTCACCTATGCAGAGTGTGAGGTATAGCAGGCCCATTCGAATATCCAATCGGAAGAAAAGAATTGCGTTGGCCACTTTACTAAACATGAAGATGTTGCCTACATGTTGCTCCACAGTGACTGGAACAGAGAGATACCACAGTCAGGCTAGGCTGAAGCTCCCACTCTTTGTTCCTCTTCCTGGGGTACTTTGAATTGGGAACAGGAGGGAGAGGATAGAGAAGCCCACGGTGAAACTAGCTCCTGGCATGAAATGTGGAACTAGTTTACTAAATACAATGTTCCTCCAATAGCACGACAAAGGAGCCTGAGCATGGCATGAGTCCCAGCCCCCAGCCAGGACACAGGAGGAAACTTACTGGATCTTCGGTTCTTCATCATCACAATGGCACTGAGGAACATTAGGATTTCCACTTCTCTCTGGAAGATACAACAAAGAGGCTGATGGGGGGGAGGGGTAGGAAATGCAAAACAGGAGATCCAGCTTGAGTCTGTAACAAAGACAACTGGAACTGGCTAAGGGGTAGTCAACAAGTCAAAAGGCCCAGCAAATGGCTGTTATCTTTCAACAAATCCATCCATGACCTTTGGGGTTTTTTTCTGTTTTCTTTTTCCTCCATCCCTCCTTCTGTCCTTAAGACTTGGTCTCACGGTCTTGCCCAGGCAATTCTCCTGCCTCAGCCTCTAAAGTACCAGGATTACTAGGGTGCATAACCATGTCCCACTGGTTCGTTCTTTCTTTTTCTTTAAAAGATTTATTTATTTTATGCACATGAGTACACTGTAGCTGTCTTCAGACATACCAGAAGAGGGCATCAGATCCCATTACGGATGGTTGTGAGCCACCATGTGGTTGCTGGGAATTGAACTCAGGACTTCTGGAAGAGCAGTCACTGCTCTTAACCGCTGAGCCATCTCTCCAGACCCCCACTGGTTCTTTCTTTCACAGCAGTTACTGTGTGTGAGTGCAGTGCACGCTTGTGCATGTGCCACAGCATACATGTGGGAGTTAAAGGACAACCTGCAGGAGACATTCTTTCAAACTCACAATGCTCCTCCTGCCTCAGCCACTCCTGTGCTGGCCTTCTTTTTTGTCATTTGATTTGAGAAAGGATCTCGTTATATAGCTTCAGCTACAATGTTTTGTCTTTTATATTGTTTTCGAGAATCTTTGATAGGTCAAGCTGGCACCCAACTCCCTATGCTGGTTTACTTTAAACTTGTGACCCTCTTGCCTCTACCTCCCAAATGCTGAAATTACAGGTATGTGTTACCGTGTTGTGCTTTTTACAACCACTGTTATTGTTATATTATTATTACAATTTATTTTCAGTGAGTCTCAAATTTTTATGGTGTTTTCTATCTTCAGGATACACACACTCCACACATAGTGGTGCACACTTGTGAACCCAGCATTCTGGAGGATAGAGACAGGAGAAACAACAAGAGCTCAACCCTAGCTTGGTCTACAAAACATGTTACAGGCAAATGAGGACAACACAGTTCCACTGTTGCTGGCACAGCCTGAGGAGTTACCCTAATCTTTTAGGAGCCCACTCAGGCCAAAGTGTAATTCACAGTTCCATTAAAGGAGAGTTTCACAGGTAGCCAGTATAAAGAGTTGTGTGTGTGTATGTTTTTAAAGAATATTTTTATTTTATGTGTGTAATACATTAAATGTGTATTAGGGGTTTATCTGAATGTATATAAATGTACTGTGTTTCCAGTACTCACAGAGACGCTGGATCCTCTGGAACTGGAGTACTGGATGGTCCTGAGCCACCATGTGGCTGCAAGGAACCTCATTCAACTCCTCTCAAAGAGCAGCCAGTGTTCTAACCACTAAGCCAGCTCACCTCTCCAGTCCCCAGAGTTGAGGTCTTCCTAATTCAATATTTACTTTTATTATTTTTATTACATACATGTGTGCTGATACGTGCAAGTGAATGAGATGCCTGACAAAGACCCCCCCAAATCTGTAGTTACAGGCAGCCCCAAGCCTACTGGTGTGGGCACTAGGAACCAAATCTGGGTTACCAGAAATGAGTATGTGTTATTCCCCCTATTCCACCCAAGACACGGTCCCTTTATGTAGCCCTAGCTGTCCTAGAGCAAATTCTGTAGACTACGCTGGCCTCAAACTCACTGATCCACCTTCTTCTGCCTCCCAAGTGCTGGGATTAAAGGCATGTGTCACCACTGCCTGGCATAGCATGTGTTCTTAACCACTGAACCATCTTTCCATTCCTAAGCTATTTTAATATAGTCTTAAGTATGTGGATTAAGGGAGAAAGAGGAGTTCAGAAAGACTCAAAAACATAGGCACTTCATTTTCTTTACCATAGTCATCTATAGTATACTGGTGGGATTTGAGGCTGTTATCTTCAGAGGGCCTAATGAAAACATAGGGCAATTCTTTTTTTTTTTTTTTTAAATATTTATTTTATTTATGAGTACACTGTAGCTGTCTTCAGACACACCAGAAGAGGGCATTCAATCTCATTATGGATGGTTGTGAGCCACCATGTGGTTGCTGGGATTTGAACTCAGGACCTCTGGAAGAGCAGTCAGTGCTCTTAACCACTGAGCCATCTCTCCAGCCCACATAGGGCAATTCTTAAGACGAACCTGGCAGAGTTGCAATTTGTAAAGTAAGACTCTAGAGCACAGGAATAGAGATAAGTAGGGTATCTGATGTGCTCTTTTGTTTTGAGTTAGGGTATAACTATTTAGTCCAGACGGATCTAGAAAATACTATATAGACCAGTCTTACATCAATCAATCTTACAGAAGTCCACCTGCCTCCGTCTGCAGAGTGCTGGGATTAAAAGGGACAACACAAAGTCTGGCAACAGTATTGAATCTTTAATGTAAACAAAGTTAATAATCTTGTTTGAGAGTCCCAGAACATGTGAGGCCTACCCAAGGTTATATATTAATACCTTTAGGCCTTAAGTCCTGGTCATTGCTATTTTAGCATAAATATCTGTATAGGAAAGAAATATTAGCTCTAGGTCCACGGCCTTCACGACAAATGTTAATTGTTGTTAAATATTGCTTCTTAGATGATTGAGGGGCTTCCACCTTCCTCGTATTTTCATAACCTTCCCTGTTTTTTCTATCCCACCTCTGGAAGATAGTGTGCGCAGTTACTATGCCCACAGTAGTCGATTTCCACCCAAGTCATTTATTTTGTTGAGTCAGCGACCTATGTCTGCCGGTCTATCAGACAAATGAATAAGGTTAGACAGCACTTTCTGAACGCTGTGTTACCTTGGGAAATACGCCTAATCACACTGAGATCACTTTGTTAAAAATTAAACAAAAAATTTTAAATGGTATTTCTACGACTGGCCTTGTCTTCTTCACTGGCGCCCCAGGGATCTTGGAATCACTGTAGAATACTGTTCATCTGTGACGGAAACCCTGGAATCTGTTTCTCCATCTTAAACACGGAGGTTAAAACTAGATAACGGCCTAGGCTCTCCACTCAAAGTCTGTAAGCCGGCTACATCCCGAAACCTGCCCCCACATTTTCACATGCACCTGCAGGGAAGGGATGGTCAAGGTCGAGAGCTAGTATGGCAGGGGGCGCTCACCCAGTCAAAGTCACACGGGTTGCCATCTTCGCGCTGCGTGGGGAGACCGTTGCAAATCGGCGGCAGTTTCCTCACGAGGAGGAAAGCAATGGAAAGCAGAGCAGAGAGAAGGCAATAAGGTCGGGCGAGCCATCGAGAAAGCCGCGGCACCGAGTACACCAAAGCAATCAGAGGCGCGAGGACAGCCATCTTTCCTGCCTACTCTCTCGCAGGCTCACTCCCGCTCCCCAAATCGTCGTCCTCCGCCCCCACCAACAAGGCTTCTATTGGGCCAAATATCAGATGCAACGCCTCCAGACCCAGATGTAGATCTCTTATTGGGTGCTATAATGAATCAGAAAAAGAGTTAGATAGTCTATTGGTCCTCATAGTTGTCGCTTTTCTACCTGAGTCATTTTATTGGCTATTAGTCTGCGAAACGCTACCTGAACAGTCTCTCAGGCGACGGAAGTAAGGTGACGGAAGATGGTGGGCGGGGCTTAACGTATCCAATGATGGGAAGCTCTTCAACGAAGAGGGTGGTACCCTGTGAAAGTACTGTCCAATGAAAGTAATTAATGCCAGATCCCAGGTAACCAGGAGCGGAGAGTGCTATGGAGAACTTCACAGCGCTGTTTGGAGCTCAAACTGACCCCCCACCGCCACCAAGCGCCCTAGGCTTCGGACCTGGAAAACCTCCCCCGCCACCTCCTCCTCCTCCGGGAGGTGGTCCAGGCACAGCCCCACCCTCGACGGCAACCTCGGCCCCCGCAGGAGCGGATAAGTCGACGGCTGGAAGTGGCCCCTTCTACCTTATGCGGGAATTGCCAGGTGAGTAGTGGGCCAAAAGTAGCCAGTCAGATAATAGTTTAAGTGACGGTTGTGGCTAGCTGCCTGTGCTAGGTGTGAGATAACAGGACTACGCGTGGCCAGTGGGCAACAGTGTCAGAAGCCCTTTGGCGATTCACAACCCTAAGAGATAACTTGATTTTCTGGGATGGGTTTGGGTTGGGTGTGAATATCTGTGACTACCCCTAGCGAGAAGATCTTTGTGATCCGGGTTCTCTGACCCCCGTTTGTGACTCTATAAAAAACGTGAGCCGTTGTTTAGAACTCGGGAGACGCTAAGATTTTAGTTTAAAGTCTGTCACTTTAACTGCTGGTTTGTCGCAAGTTGCCTTCCTTGTCAGGGACTCAGAGATTAACCTGTTCAAAGAAAGGATTAAAATTGAATCAGTTCTTACATTCATAAAGTTATTCGGGGAAATTGTGGTGGGGGGGCGTGGCTCAAGGGTAGAACTCTTGCCTGCGGTGCATTGGGCATCGCATTCACAGAATCATCTCTGAGTAGGTAGCATTCAAGAATAAACAAAGCTATCTGTGAATGGACAGAGAGGAGATACTAGATACAAGAAACTAAATCAGTAGACCTGTTGGGGGGCGGGGTTGGAATATCTAAGGGGCTGAAGACACTCCTGACAAGGAGGTGAAGGCAGAAGGATCTGGAGTTGAAGCCCAGCCTAGGGGACATGAGATCCTGCTTAAAAAAATAAATAAATAAATAAAAGGTTCAGTTATGGGGGCTGGAGAAATGGCTCACCCGTTAAGAGCACTGACTGCTCTTCCAGAGGTCCCGAGTTCAATTCTCAGCAACCACATGGTGGCTCACAACCATCTGTAATGGGATCCGATGCCCTCTTCTGGTGTGTCTGAAGACAGGGACTGTTTACTCACATACATAAAATAAATCTTATAAAAAGTTATTCCAATTAATCTATTAGCAAAATAGTTTGAAGTTCATACCAGTGCAGTGTGTAACAATCTGTAATACTGTAGTCCTTTTAGATAGATAGGTATTGTCTGTATTTTATAATTGAGAACTGACTGTCTGTATTTTATAATAAAGAAATGACTGTGCTTTAGTGATAAATGTCTTCCAGCAGTTTTCTTATTTTAGTTGTTTTGTTCTTATTGGGTTTTTGAGACAGGGTTGCTCTATGTAGCCCTGGCTTGTCTCAAATTTATTGTAGACTATGCTGGCCTTGAACTCACAGAGATCCATTTGCCTCTGCCTTCAGGTATGTGCCACCATGTCCAGCTTCTTCCAGCAATTTATTTTTTGCATTACCTGTTCTAATTTACCATTTATTTATAATACAGTTGATAATTACTGAGTATCAGAGGCAATGCTAGCTATGTTGGAATTATAAGAAGTGGAGATTATTAAGCCTGATCTTTAGGTAGCTTATTTTTTGAGATTCAAAATACATGGTCTAAGGATTGTGCTTGTTTTTTTGTGGGTGTTAGTCTTATTTATTTATAATCATGCTTCACACAGGAAGCAGCAATGTTAAAAACTACCTGATAGTTTTCAAAATGTGTTAGCCAAAATGACAGCAAGAACAAGATGTCATTTGAATTGAACCCTGAAGAATTTATAAACAAAATTAGAAAGTCATTTTCTCAAAGGAAATAGTGTTACAGTTTTGTTGCTGTTGTTTTCTACCCAGAAGATAAGTAGATCCATCTGGATACATTAGAAATTTTGCATGGAGCCGGGCAGTGGTGGTGCACGCCTTTAATCGCCTTTAATCCCAGCACTTGGAAGGCAGAGGCAGGTGGATTTCTGAGTTCGAGGCCAGCCTGGTCTACAGAGTGAGTTCCAGGACAGCCAGGACTACACAGAGAAACCCTGTCTCGAAAAACCAAAAAAAAAAAAAAAGAAAGAAAGAAAGAAATTTTGCATGGAAGGTTAGTGGTTGATTATAGACTCCAAAGTTAAGCTGTAATAAAATATGGTTAAGAAGGCTGGGGGTGTAGTTTAGTTGGTAAAGTACATGCTTAGCATGCATAAAGACGTCTCTCTGTTCAGTCTCCATACTTGACAAACCAGGCTTGGTGGTATACTTCTATAATCCCTACCCTTGGGAGGTGTAGGCAGGAAGATCAGGAGTCCAAGGTCATCACTGGCTACATGAGGCCTTTCCTTAAAAAGGGCTATGGGAGCTAGAGAGATGGCTCTAAGGTTATGAAGTTAGGGATATGTTGTCCAGAGGACCAAGCTTGGTTCCCATACCCACATGAGACTCTCACAATTATCTATATGTAACTCCAGCTCCAGGGATCTCAATACCCTCTGCTGGCCTCCACAGGCAATCAAATAATATGTGGCATCCACACAACACACACATAGACATAAATAAGATAGTGAATAAATCTTTCAGGATGAATCAAGAGGCGAAGGCAGGCTGATCTCTTAACTCAAGGCTAACTTGGTCTACATAGTGAGTTCCAAGTCATTCAAGACTTTAGAGAGAGAGACTCTGTATCAAAAGAAAAAAATTTAAATAAATAATTTTCAAAAAATTATTAGACTCAAGTACCATGGGAATTTAAGTAGAGGTTTATTTCCCCCACCCCCCAACCTGCATGCTTAGAATCACACTCAAGGCCTTCCACAAGCTACCTAAGCACCGCACCACTGTTTTTTGGTTTCGAGTATTGCTTTTAAAACTACAGGATGTGAATTTCAAGAATTGGAATAGAGAGGCCATAATACTTAGAACTTAGTGAGCAATACTTAGAACTTCAAGAAAGGAAAAAAAAATGAATCTGCATGGAATTGACATAGAAAGAATTGGGAATTCAAAATTTGTTTTGCAGAGTCATGGCTTCTTAAAGAGGTTTATAAATCATTTTCAGAGAAACAACAGTTCAAATAGAAGTTAAATCCCTATTTATTTTTTAGTGTTTATGTGTATGAGTTTTCCTGCATGTGTGTATATATGCACTCTGTGTCCCTGCGCGTGTGTGTGTGTGTGTGTGTGTGTGTGTGTGTGTGTGTGTGTGTGTGTGTG